AATAATAATAATAATAATAATAATAATAAAGTTGGAAGGGACCTTGGAGGTCATCTAGTCCAACCCCCTGCTCAGGCAGGAAACCCTATACCATTTCAGACAAATGGCTGTCCAGTCTCTTCTTAAAAACTTCCAGTGTTGGAGCATTCACCACTTCTGGAGGCAGGTTGTTCCACTGGTTAATTGTTCTCACTGTCAGAAAGTTTCTCCTTAGTTCTAGGTTGCTTCTTTCCTTGATTAGTTTCCACCCGTTGCTTCTTGTCCTGCCCTCAGGCGCTTTGGAAAATAGCTTGACTCCCTCTTCTTTGTGGCAGCTCCTGAGATATTGGAACACTGCTATCATGTCCCCCCTCGTCCTTCTCTTCATTAAACTAGACATACCCAATTCCAGCAGCCTTTCCTTATATGCTTTGGCCTCCAGTCCCCTGATCATCTTTGTTGCTCTTCTCTGTACTCTTTCTAGAATCTCAACATCTTTTTTACATCGTGGTGACCAAAACTGGATGCAGTATTCCAAGTGTGGCCTTACTAAGGTATTGTAAACTGGTATTAATACTTCACGTGATCTTGATTCTATCCCTCTGTTAATGCAGCCCAGCACTGTGTTGGCCCTTTTGGCAGCTGCAGCACACTGCTGGCTCATATTTAAGTGATTGTCCACTAGGACTCCAAGGTCCCTCTCACAGTTACTACTATTGAGCAAGGTACCCCCTATACTATACCTGCGCATTTGGTTTTTCTTGCCTAAATGTAGAACCTTACTTTTTTCACCACTGAATTTCATTTTGTTAGATAGCGCCCAGTGTTCAATTCTGTCCAGATCCTCCTGTATCCTAAGCCTGTCTTCTGGAGAAGACAGGCTTATTTCTTGCAGATATGCCAATGCACCATTGTTGCTACTTTGTCACATTGTTGTTTGTGGCCAAACTGTGTGATCTTGCAGCGCCTAAATATATGGTCCATTGTTTCTTCAATATATATTATTATTAAATCTGTCTTATTTAGGACAAATAAGGAAGACGTGCTTCTTCTTAGTCTATAAAACAGGGCTATATCCAATGGGTGGGAATATCACAAAAGTGTATTTTGGCTAAATATTTAGAGAAACTTCAGAATACAATGGAATAGACAATTGTAGGAAGGCATTCCTTCATTACAAGTAGTCCTTGCTTGCCAACCAATCATTCAGTGACTGTTCAAAGTTATAACAGTGCTGAAAAAAAGAGATTTACAATTGATCCTCAAAGTTGCCACTGCAACTTCCCTGAAGTCACATGATTACAATTTAGGCTCTTGGCAGCCAGCACACATTTAAACAATTGCAACAATTGCAAATCACATGATCACCATTTGCAAGCTTCACAGCTGACTTCCAACAAGAAAAGTCAATGGGGAAGCCAGCAGGAAGTTGCAAGTTGAGGTCAAGTGTCATTGCACTTAATGACCACATAGGATTCACTAACAATCATAGCTGGAACTGATAAGTTGGGCACAGAGACATATTTCACTTTACAACTATATCACTTAGCAATGGAATTGTCAGTCATAGTTGATAAGTAAGGATTACCTATACACACAAATAAATAAATACTGGCCAGTCAACTGTCTGAAATACTGCACTTAGACTCAGTAAGATCACTTCTGAAGAATTTCCAAGTCAACAGATACATCATTTGTGGAAACTATTATTTCATAACAACTAGAAGCTATAGCTAGAAAGATCCAGTACAAAATGCATTACCATTATGAACACAATAGTTTTAGCCCACCGCTATCCTAGTTGCACTATGAGAATAAAGATGTGCTAGACAAAGGATTCTTGTAACACTGGTGACGCAGCTTGAGAATAGCTAAAGCTATTGGAGGAGGATGAATGACATAGTGTAATGATGCCACTTTTATTAATACACTATTAATTCAATTATATCACATCATTACAAGCATGTCAAGATAAACTGAAGCCTGGGTATTTTTAAGACAGCTGAAACATTTTCCATATAGTTTTTGAATAGCCACTATGCTCTGGCCAAGGTGCTGAATGTAAAATATCAAGAGAAGTGCTTTGATTTTTAAGACAAATTCATTCTGGAAATTCTGGTTTGAACCCCTTGATTGGCACAACTCCTTTATAAGTGTCTTTTTCCAGGAAAAGCACACTGGAAGGAGGGAAAATGGTTAAACAGCCCTACATGCTGTTCTACAGTCCTCTCATTTTAAAAAAAGTACTTCATTAAGACTAAAATTAATCTCTGGGTGAAATGGATAAGGAAATAAGCAAGCTTTCCACATTTTCACTCCTGAAAGATCTATAGGCAGAGTGTGATTTATTGGTATATCTTGGGATAGAATGGCAAGAATTTCTAACATCCCATGATTTAACCTCCACACACCCAAAACAACCACCAGGTTGTTGAAAAAAGATACTTAGGGTAAAACAAGGATTGATTTGTATGAAAAGATTTATGAATTTGCTTCTGTTTATTGGCTGAAAATTCCTGGATTGAGTATATCTCACAACTTTCCTTAATTCTTAGAATATGTCTTCCTACAGGAGCCTCCATCTGGAATTCATCTCTAACTGGTGTATCAAAATCTGAAGTCTGCCTGCTTCTGCCATAGATGTTACATTTCAATCATGCCACACATTCTCATCTGTGAAAAATTCCTGCTCATACTTCCCTATCTAATCCTAATAACAAGGCTTTTGCTTCTACTTCTTCAAGAGTTAAATTAGCTCCTTCTCTGAGATACAATAAGGGAAAGGCTGCCATTTTTACTTAATCAGAGATAGACCAAGGGAAGAGACAGCAATGTCACAAATAAATTCAATTTAGTTCCATGTTTTGTAGATGCATTGTTTGAACGTGGGATGTAGAACAATCAATACCTCAGCATTAATCTGACAGATCTGATTGCATTACACTTGCTTTAGTTGTATATAATGTAAAACAGCAGAGGGAAACGAGGCTGCCCACTGCCTTTTTCATCAACAGGCAAATGTCATTACACCCATCTGTTTTCATATCTTCTACCTGCAGTGCCGGAGGGGTCGGAGAAATGAATCTTTCACTGTGGAAGCCTGGTGTGCATTGGTGTTTACTTTCTTTACACACCACTTCATGATTGACCAAAAGCACTCTGCAGTCCTGAAAATCTCTCTTGAAGGATCTCAATGCTCTTCAGAGAAATGTCCTTTAGTCTTTGCACTGTTTTGGATTGTTATTGTTAATCTTATTCAACTGACTGCAAAATAATTTTCATGCACATTTGTGTATACATATATACACACAAATATTTCGTTTATTTAAAAAAATAAATACTGAGAGACATAACAAATTACCTTTGGGCCTTATCATATATACTTCCTGCAACATTTCTGAGCTTTCATGGGAATTATGGAAAGAATAACTAAAGTCTCTCCATCTCTGGATTAGCTTGGTTTGCCTTAAAGATACTGAGCTCACATTTTAGCACTTCAATTTTCTTTTCAGTTTGTTTAAACATCTCCCCCGTTTAATCTTGTGCTCTGTAATTATTTGTGCTTTTGGAATAGCCTGTTAAAAAAAGACAGACGGTAATTTCTGGGTTCCTGGCATTATTGTTATTTGTTATTATAACGTTGGCTTCTAACCTGATCAATATTAGAAAGAATCTGTTTGCAAACCCAATTCTGGCTGAACAGGAAAGCAAGTATATACTGAGAAAAAGCATCCAATACATCCTACTAAGGAACTGGTATCCCTGAATGTATCCATTCAGAAGTCTAATCTAGGAAATGTTGAAAAATTCCACCAGAACTTTTTCTGATTACTTAAAATAGAACATACAATCCATGAAAGTTTTCTAATTTCAATTCTCCTCTTAAAAGTCACTCTCAGACTCTTAAACTGGAATAATGTACCTTTCTCATTTCTTTTCCCCTCTCACCTTTATCTAGCTCTCTTTCACACACACACACACACACACACACACACACACACACACACACACACACATGATTGCTTTAACTGCAGGGAGGGAAATGTCTTTGTCCTTCCAGTAATAGCTCTGTCTCTGCCCCCTTCTGTATCTTCAAAGTGTTTCATATGGACCATTGTGCCTCCTGACTCACTGCAAACATTTGCCTACCCCAACTGAGCATAAAAGTCAATCCTGTCTCCTCACCTCAAAGACTTTAAGGGCACGCGATGGGAGTGAAGTCTTCCCTCCTTTAAGTGTGAACAGAAGATTCAACACGGCTATCCCATCCTTCTCATCAAAGACGATCGTCTCAGTTAATTCAGCAGCTTCAGACGCAGCAGCTGCAGCAGCTTCTCTCTCCTTTCTGGCATCTTCAATAAGACTCTGACGTCTACCTATGAATTGTGGAGACTGGGAAAAGAGCACAAGGAGAGAAAATTCAACACAACCATGGAAAACGGTTCTCATCTCTATGCAATATACGAATAATCAGCCAAGTGATGCTTCATCTAGCCCAAATGTAACTATTAATTATTCTTCTGGTATGCTCCTGGATAATATGCTACATTAGGAGTTGAACACTTGTTTCAGCAATTTCATTACTATAGACATGATGTTTCAATCATGATATGGGGGAGAAGAACCCTTCTCAGTCATATTCCCATTGTTACTGTTTAATATCTATATGAGGGAGCTTGACAACATCTGATATCCAAGTATGAGTCATTACCTGAGGTTGGGTCAGAGAAGCTGTTGATATCCTGACAGTGTCTGGAGGCAGTAAGGGATTGAGGATGGGGGAATAAGATGAACTTAAATTCTGGCAAAACAGAGATATTGTTTATCAGGAAGCCATCAGATTCTTGACTGACTACAGTTATCACACTAGATGGGATGTTATTCCCTCTGAAGGAGCAATTTGATATCTTAGGGGTCATTCTAGGCTCACATCTGCTACAAGATGGACAAATGGAGGCCACTACTGGAAAGATTGTCTAGCTTTGGTTAGTGTGCTAGTCGCCATCCTATCTGGAGGAGGAAGCCCTAGCAACAATCACTCAGATTTTCATTATCTCCAGGCTAGTATACTATATAGGTCTGCTTTTGGAGATGACTAAGAAGCCACAATTGACTCAGAGTCCAGCAGCTCATGTTCTGGCTGAATCATAAATTAATGTTGCAGGTACTGTCTCAGTAGTCAATGGGCTTCTAAGTATCATTCAAATACTATATAATCACTTATAAAGTCCAATATATGTGTGTGTGAGTGCGTGTGTGTGTATATATATAAAATATATAGTGTAAATATATAGGAATCACTAGGAGTGTCTCCTTTGAGTAATGCCAACTCATCTCATGTGTGCCTCCCCAAGCGGGATTCTGAAGATTCCCCCCTATACAATATTGAGGGATGGGGAGCAGAAAACTATATTTTCAATATATGCTCCATCACAATGGAAAGGACCACTTTTTATTTGGATGGCATTGTCTATTATGCTTTTTAAGAAGGTAGTAAAGACTGGGTTGTTTTGAAGAGCTTTTAGTTTTTAATATTGCTGAGTTAAGTGCTGGGTAGGGAGGATGGATAATTTTTTATCACAACTTTAATATATCTGTATCAAACTTTTTTATGTTTTGTTATTGTTGTGAATGTATGTGAACTGTTAAAAGCCTATATTGAGTTGGCAGAATGCAAATGTTATAACAAATAAATAATTGATACCTGGACTACACTATGCATTAAAAAACCTTTCTGAAATATACAGAATGTTAAATTATTTCGGGTTGTAAAATTGACAATGGCAATCAATTTACTTAGCATGCTGATATTGATGTTGAAAGCACCAAGCTGTTGTTTTCAATCTTTTTGCTAATTGTTAACAAATTATAAAGCAGCAGCTTTATAAGAGTTTGCCCCAAATGGAGAGGTGGGCATCAATAAAATATTTCCTTTTGATGAAGCAGGTATTTTTCCTAGTAGTAGTAAATCTCTGCATTGCCCTGGTTCAGGGAGGCATAAAGAGCAAAAACCTTAATCTCACATTTAATCAGCCACCGCTGACATCAAGCAGCTTGCAGAAGAAGAGCTGAACGTTAGAAGAAAGGACTCAATACATCAATGCGACTCCAAAGGCTGCCTTTTGAAAGAGGGAAGTTTGTATTGGTCCTTTTAGGGTGGACAATGGTCCATTAGACTCCCCTTGGTAAGTTGAGATTTTCTTGGTTTATGTCTTTGCTTTTGAGAGTTTTATGGAAAAAAGGACAGAGTGGGATTTTGAGATAATTGCCTGTAAGCATGCTCAATTGTTTGCTTCCCACTCCCATCTCTCATTGTTTTCAAAAGATTAGAAAGAATTTTTGCACATCTGGGAGCAATAATAATAGTGAAAGGAGAGCACAAATGCATAAATAGCAGCTTTGTCTGTTCAAAAGCATATCCAACCCATGACTGTCAGTTTTCCAGAAAAATACTTTTGCCAAGCTTACCACTAATACGATGTCATTCGCAAACTGGAGGTATTAATTAGAAAGCATGCCAACTGAGTAACTATGAGATGTGTTAAAAAGCAGATGGAGATAAAAACGAGACCCAGTTTCCAACCTGGCTAGAAACTGGAGAGATTGTGAGTCCTGCCTTAGGCAAAGTCAGCTGGATGACCTTTGGCTGGCCGATCTATCTCAGCCCTAGGAAGTACGCAATAGCAAACCACTTCTGAAAAAATCTTGTAAAGAAAACTGCAGGGACATATCCAGACCGTCTCTGAGAATCAGACACCGTTGAATGGAAGAAGAAAAAAAAAGATCAAAAGGCAGATACAAAGCATTTGAATGCATTTCCATATGTAATGATAGTATTAAACAGTGATTTAGAGGTTCATTACTTACTCCCATGCTGATTTGCTTCTTTCCTATCGTATAATATCTTCCTCCCCAATCTCATGCTCTATATATTGGATTGATTTTAATCCCTAACATCCTCAACCATCTTCACTATTGGTGGGTGAACTGCCTGAGCTTGATAGTTGATAGTTGATAGTTGATATTGTAGAACTACTCAGCTAGAAAGTATGAAGTTATGGAAGGTCAATGTGATAGTGCACATAAAATGGGAATGCTCCTCACTAACCTCACACCAACATCTGAAATTGATATAGAAGGCATTCAAGGGAATCAGTGAAACAAGACATGGAAACAATGTGAACATAGTATATATGTACTTACCTAGAATTAATGCTATTTGTAGAATTTACTTTTGAGTGAACATTTATAAGCATATACTCTTAATTGTGGTGACGTTGTCTAATCCAAATTATATCCATGTATTAAAAAACCCCGTTGATTTCTTTGTATAATATCCCTTTGCATAATATTACAAGAAATGCCTGCTATTCCCAACCTAATATCCTTCAAATTCCTAGAATCCTATTGGCTCCAAATGATTGGTTGTTCTGCAAATTGCAATCCTAAATTGTCTAGACAATATTAGGTTGAGGAAAAACTCCTATATGGACTTTTGGTTGATTTTATGGTGACACTGCTTTAGTTATTTAACTTGATGTGCTATTTAAGTCTCTTAAAAACTTGCTTTTTTCATCTATGAGAAATAGGATACACTCATCTTCTACCTTCTTTGAACAGAAGGTATCGGTTACTATATTTTTAAATTTTTTCACCAGCACTCAACGGATGATGTTTTCTCTATTGAGGAAGATTGGTGATGATGTTAGCTTTTATTTGCAGAAAAAAAAAGGGGGGGGGAATCACAATTTCATACTACACTGATTATCAGACATAAGTTAACCTTATTTGAAATGCAACCTGCTACATTAAATGCAGAAAACAGGATAATGAAAGCTGAAAGTGTCAGGTTTTATTCTTAATAGCTGTACCCGGCCACGTGTTGCTGTGGCTCATTCTGGTTATATGGAAAAGAAAGAAAAGAGAAAGCGCACGTTTGTAATATGTTTAATTTCACAATGCTTGTCAAAAAAGCATGTTTTTACCTGTCACAGGTGTGACATCTATATAATATAGGTATATAAAAACACGTGCGTATTCGAATGCAACGTTGTGTCAAAATTTCAAAGCAATCGGTGAAGAACTTTCGGAGATTTAAGATTTTGAACAAATGAACATTTACATTTTTATTTATATAGATAGATAGTGCTCTTTTAAGCCGTGATTTCAAGCCGGTGTTTTATTACGGGTCATGCAATAGCCATCTGGGGCCAAAAGACCTTTCTACCTTATTGCGTAGAATTACTTCCCTATTCCTATTCAGGCAAAAGAAATTAAAGATAAATATGATAGCTTTAAGCCTCCTTTTTTTTTTTAGTGTGATTTCAAGCAATGCCCTTGCATCTGCTCAGTTAAAAAAAAAAACTGTGTTTTACAAAGCAGTGAATCTAGCCTGCTTATATCTAAGAGTTCATTGGTTAGCTTTACATATGAATAAACCTTGGAAGCTGCCCTCTCCTGAAGGGTGGGACAGGATTTTATATCTTTGCTTGTGTTGGAGAATTGAGCTCCATTCTTTGCACAAAGGCAACAGTGAACATCACTATTGGGATGGCGGGGTGGCATTTGCCTGGCACTTGACTGATCTTGCAAAATGTATTTCCTGACTGCAGACAGAGAAAGCAAAACAAAGTCAGTATCACCTTTGTGGCCCTAAATCAGAAGAAAGCAATTTAGGAGCCTTCCGATGTTTTGGACCAGAGTTTTTACCATCGTCTGTGACTGACCTCACTGGCTGAAGTTAATAGAAGCTGGGATCCAAAACACTCCGACGGTTCCACCTTGCTTATTCCTGCTCTAAACAAAATTGTAAGGACTGTGCATTAGCCAAAACCAGTGCAGAGTTAGAATGAGCAAACATTTTGCAGGGCTAGAGAGCCAGTTTGGTATCGTGGTTAAGACATCAGGCTAGAAATTGAGAGACCGTGAGTTCTAGTCCTACTTTAGATACAGTGCCAGCTGGGTGACCTGGGTTTGTTCCCTCTCTCTCAATCTTAGGAAGCAGGCAAGCAGGAAAACTGCAGGGATTTATTCAGGCAGTCTCCAGGAGTCAAAACTGACTCAAGGACACCCCCCAAAAGAGAGACACTTTGAATCAAAGCTGAATGAAACTGGCTTTAGCTGTATCAGTTCAACAGGTACAGTGTACCACAATTTCAGTTCACAAAGTGTGGAGATTTTAAAAATCAAATCCACTTGCTTTACTGCTTCAAAGGGTTGCTGTGAGGCTTGCATAGGGATAACCCTTGTTCATCAACTGATCTCCTCGGAGGAATATCTATTGGTTTCTATTTCAGATTATCTATTTCTCTACCTTTTCTATTTTTTATGCCAGTGATCACAAAAAAGAAAAAAAATGATGTCAAAGATAAGTAGCACTGAGTATAACGTAAAGGAAAAAAGAAAAAAAATTAAGAAGCTGTATAAAATACAAAGAATTTCTAATTTCTGAAAGTTGAATGAATTAGATATGTAACTAAATACAATACAATTTATACAATATCTTTAGCTGGTTACTGAATTAAATCCATGTTGTGGATTTACACAGCATAGTCAGCCATAAACTAACTGAATAGGCTAGATTCATAAAATGTGTTATACCACAAGAAATAAAATCAAGATCCAGGTTAACCTAGGTCAGGGGTAGGCAACCTTGGCTCTTTTATGACTCGTGGACTTCAACTCCCAGAATTCTGGGAGTTGAAGTCCACGAGTCATAAAAGAGCCAAGGTTGCCTACCCCTGGTCTAGGTTAACAAGATTAGTGTTGCACAAATGCATCTGCTGGAATTTCACCTGAATTGTTTAATACAACCAATATTTTATTGCAACATCCCTGAAACAAATCCTCCCGCCTTGATATTAACTCCTTCCTCACCCCTAAATATAAAATAATAATTGATTATGATTCTTCTTTATATATTTTTAAAAGTAGCACGAAATCAGAACTGCAATATGCTTTTTCAGGGAAGTGGCAGTAGAGAAACTATGATCTTTTATTTAAATGGAACTAAAATATTGTCTACAGTTTCTTTCCTACCATTCTCTTGAAAAAAAAAATCCTTTAAAAAGTTATCCAAAGAGCTGTTTTAAGATCACTTCTGCTAACCTGGTTTTAGATATTTTGCAATGTTGACTCCCTGCTTCCCCTTTTGCTCTCCCAAATATCTTTGTTGTACTGAAAACTGCTATGAAAACTTCTCTTGGACTTAAAAATAAGTTTATGGCAAGCATTCCATTGTTTTTAACAAAAACAAATTTAAAAACTTCTTCTCAGGCACATCAATTTAGTTTCATAGACAATTTTGATTAAGGTCTTTTGCTAATTAATTGCAAAAAAAATGTACTATAGGAGAATGTATGATTTCTGCTGAAAACTGTATAAAGCATTACTACTTAAAATCAATAGTAGTGTACATCTAGAGTAAATATGAAACTGCTAACCCAAAGAGAATCAGAATTATTTCAACAAACAGATTGTCCTTCAGATACTAACATCGGTTGCCTAATTACATTATATTTTGTGGTTGTTTCTAAAGAATAACCATGATAAGTACTTTGTTTCAGGACCATGAAGGGCGGAGCCTTAATCCTTTCTTCCTACACAAATAATCCTCACAGTAATTTGCTGCACAGTGCAAGATTTTGTTGGCATCAAACACAGATTCTTTCCTGTGGTGAAATGCAGTTTCTTGGAAGATGGGTCTGCAACGGATGGAAACTAATCAAGGAGAGAAGTAACCTAGAACTAAGGAGAAACTTCCTGACTGTTAGAACAATTAACCAGTGGAACAACCTGCCTCCAGAAGCTGTGAATGCTCCAACACTGGAGGTTTTTAAGAAGAGACTGGACAGCCATTTGTCCAAAATGGTATAGGGATTCCTGCCTGAGCAGGGGGTTGGACTAGATGACCTCCAGGAACAAAGCATATTCTGCTATAGATTGATGCTCTCTGGAAATGTAACCAAGAAAGCAAGAGAAATGTAATCAATGGTGTTTTATGCTCAAGCTGCTATGCTGGAGTAGTTTATCTGACATCTTCATAAATATTCCAGGTTAATGAACTAGAATACTCAGAAGGCTGGTTGACATACATACCTGCCGTATTTGATTCCAATGTACTTGATGACAGGCAGTCAAAAACATAAGTAAATTAAAAAGGTAAAGAAAATTACCTTTGGTGCTAGAAGTGCAATGGCCACACACATAAAGTTACAGTTAGCAATATCTATAAAACTTTAATACAGCCTGATAGAGTTACATCAAGTCTTGTGGGGAGTTATAACCTTCCCTCTGTGCATATCTACTAGTGGCAAAGTGCAGACTTAACTCAGATACTGCAGCAAGGAAAAATGCCGAACTGAATTGAGGTCCAAGTGTTACAAAGAAGGTATTAGCAATTTGCCATTGGATATGAATCACTATTTTCTCATGCAAAAAGCAGCAAATAAAGCAAGGCATATATAACCACACCAAATTTCTACTAAACTAAAATAGTGTAAAAATTCCAGTGCTAGGCAACAATAAGACATGCAAAGCAATTCAAGCAATACAGTAATAGAAGAAAGCTCATTGTCATTGTTCTAGTTTTAGCTTAGCTCTTATGTGATTCCACATTTTTGCCATTTTACAATATTTTTTTCTATTTCTTCACTTATTCTTCTATAAATGGCATACTTCTTCTGGGCAACTGCATTACTCTTTGGTACTAATCATTAGCGCCAATATTTCTAAGGACTGATCTGCCTAGCTTTGGCATTTTCCCACAATAGGTTGATGCTCATGATACGAAGTTGGTTTCTCTTCCTTCCCTACATCTGTCTCTCTCTGCAAATCAACATCTCATCCCAGGGATGGCTGAGAGCATCTTTGCTTACCATGATGGCCTCGGCTTGTTTAGAGTCCAGCTCTGATACTGCCCGCCGGAAGCCTTTGGCTGAAGCACTGGAGGCGTTTGGGGTTGGCATCCTTGCTGATGAACTGGCTTAGCTTCCAGCTCTGTTTCCCCTTCTTATTCTGGGTTTTTATAGGGCATGTCTGACGTCAAAGACCCTCTGTGATCCCCCTCTGTCCACCTCCCTCCCTTCAGCCTCAGGGAGAGAAAAGAGGAGGAGGGAAGAGATGCAGAGGAAGAAAACACTTGTGTCCCATTAAATGTAATTGCCACAAAGATGACAGGCACCCAGCTCCTGCAAACTCACAGTTGACTCCCTGGCCCCCAAAGTATTTGCTCAGTTATTTACCCTGGGTTTTTACTACAGCTTCCTCTAGTCGTATGCATGCTGAACATTCTCAGTCAATTGTCCGCAGTCTGCCTTTGATAAATATGATTGTATTAGCCTTGCCAAGCAGTATATGTAAAGAGGTGAAAATAAATAAGAGCAACATTTGGTGGTTGCGTGAGTTGAGTCATGTGGTTAAAGAGGATAGAAAGAGGATTTGGGACCTGGGTCTGAAATTATTATTAAGAGTTTGGTGGAGAACTTTGGGGGGAAATTGTCAGGTCCAGAAGAATGGAACATTTGTCTAAAACACAAGGAGCAAAAGGTTTCTGATCTTCCACAGCAAATGCTAAACAGCTACAAACAGCAAATGCTAGACAGCCACAAAAGGTAAGCCTTTGGGGATACACACTTGGGACTTACCTACATTGAGTATATCCACTAAAATGGAAAAAATGGCTTTATTCTGTAACTTTTCTTCTGCTCTCCCACTTACATGATACTCAAGCATCATGTAAATACAGAGGGTGAGGTTCTGTCAGAATAAAGAGGCTTGACTTAAATTTCAAGGTTAACAAACATTAATAAAACTACTTTCCATGTTAACATTCTCAACATCCTCAGCACGGTTAACTGGGAGCTGTGTTTATAGATCTTCTACATCCCAAAAAGCCTATCTGGTTTTTTTAATTTATATTCATTGCCTGATCAACCATTTCAAAGCAGGCTTAAAATTCTCCAGAATAAATTAATAAAATGTTCACCTCTGCTTTAGTCTCCTAATGATTCTTAATGTATTCAAATATTTCTGGAAACCCAGAAATTTTTAATGGCTCCTAGAATGTAACCTAGTACAAAATGTTCTATATACTTTAGATCAGGGGTGTCAAACTCAATTTCATTGAGGGCCACATCAGCATTGTGGTTGCCCACAGGAGGGCTGGGTGAGTGTGGCCAGGGTGGGTGCAGCCTACTGAGTGGGTGTGGCCTACTAGGTGGGGGTGGCCAGCTCTACATCATTTGCGTCAAGGGTGCCTGTGGGGGCCTGGGCAGGAGTGAGACAGATCTGAGGGTCTCTGGCAGAAGGGGGTGGGACCAGGGCAAATGCCAAGGCATGGTCCACTGGAGGAGCCTGACCGTTCCTCTCAGGCCATGTGGGGGGGTTGGATGGTGGTGTGGGCTGCCCGGAGCCCTGGGCAGCAGAGGTCAAATGCCCAGCCTGGCCCTTGAGCACCCACGGCACCAAGCCCATCCCCACTTCCCCAAGGGGGCGCCCAGCTGCACTTACCTCCTCCTGAAGGCTGCTGCTGCTGTGCTTGCTCTCCTTAGCCAGGTTGCTCATGATGGGTACGAGGGCAAAGTTAGAGATGAGGGAGGGAGAAAAACAGGCAAGAAATGCAGCTGGGGAAGTGTCACCCTTCGTGAGGAATGAAGAAATGCACCATCGCCTGGAAATGGCCAGCACATGGCCCTCACCTACTTCACATATCTGGCTTGGTGGGCTCTGGGGGAGGGGATGCCATGAGCAGTGTGAGAATCAATGTTACCTGCGCAATGCTGCCCAGCCCCCAGCCTGCCCAGTTTCGGCAGGCAGCGAGGCACTCTCCTCACAGTGCCGAGAAGCTGAGCCAGGTGGCGCAAATCCAAAAAGAAGCGCGACGCCGCCCAGCCCCCATCCAGCCCAGTCTCGGCAGGCAGCGGGGTGCTCTCCTTACAGCGCCAAGAGGCTGAACCAGGCAGCGGGAATCCAAAAAGAAGCGCGATGCCGCCCAGCCTCCAGCCTGCCCGGTTTCGGCAGGCAGTGAGGCGCTCTCCTCTCCTTTGCACCTTGCTGCCTGCTGAAACTGAGCAGGCTGGGGGCTAGGCAGCATTGCATTTCTCATCAGTTTTGCGCCACCCGGCTCAGCTCTTGGCGCTGTGAGGAAAGCGCCCCACTGCCTACCGAAAGCCCTCCCCCGAAGCCCATCAAGCTGGATATGTGAAGTAGGCAAGGGCCATTTGCTGGCCACTTCCAGGCGATGGTGCATTTCTTCATTCCTCACAAAGAGTGATTTCTCCCCAGCATGCACCCAGGGGGCGGGGCTGATGTGGCAGGGGCTGGTTCCTCGCTGTTTCCAGACGGTCTTGTGGAACTAAGACTGAATGCATTTCAGCATAGATGGCCACCACAAAATTGTACATTGGCTCCCGGCCAGCCTGGGCCAGGGCCAAGGAAGCGGGGACCGTTCCTTCACTGTTTCCAGGATGGCTTCCCGGGCCACATGAAACTACTTTGCGGGCCGCATCCAGCCCCCGGGTCTTGTGTTTGACATGTCTGCTTTAGATCAAGAATAGGAGATAACTCCCAGCAACTACTATGAACATGGTCAACAGCCAGGAATACTGAGTGTTCTCACTCCCTGACATAAACTGAATACTTTTTAAAAAATGTGATGGGGAGGAAACAGTCTTTTTGCCTTTCTTTCCAGTCCCTTTCCCCCCACACACAGACATGTTGCTTGTTTGTTGAATCAATTACTTTTTCTAGTAGGAGTAATCCAAAAACGAGGAAGAGGGAGAGGGAGAGACAACTTCCTGAGACGGAGAGAATTCTAGAATTCAGAATTAGATCATCATAAGCTGTATATTGAGTTGTGCTTAGAAATGCTGTGTTCATTCTCTGGTTGATCTACTGCCTGTTGCTCAATCCTATAGAAGGCAAATCTACATACCGTATTTTTCCATGTATAAGATGCTATTTTTTCCTGCAAACACCCTGTTCAAAAATCAGGTGCGTCTTATACAAATGCAGCATCTTATACACAAAAAAATAATGGTAACCTCAGCAGTCCAGGACATGCCTGTGTGGGTTCTTTACATGCCGCTGCCATGCCACCTGGTGCAGGAGGATATCGCTGGCCTGTGTTGCCACCTGGATGGGGAAAAAGCCGCCGAGATGCCGCCTGGTGCTGGAGGATCGCGCTGCCCCAAGGATGCCGCCGGTCCCACTGAAGCTGCCTTCTATGACCCATTTTTCACCAGCGCAGCTTGGGCTGAAGCTGCAAGAGGCCCCAGGAAGCCACCTCAGTACAGTCATTGACGGCCAAGGGGGTGGGTGGGACTAAGTCTGCAGAGCGCCATCTGATTGGAGGAAGTTGCCTCGCATGTGTGAGGGTACCGAGAAGTACCAGTAATTGGGGGCATCTTATACAAGGGTGCATCTTATAGATGGAAAAATACGGTACATTTCATACACAGAAAAAATAAATATATGTGGACCCCTTTGGTGCTATTGTTGGCTTTTTTATTGTGTAATCAGGGTTACTGGACCAAGAATAAAGTTACTATTATCTATATTCTTTCATAAAGTAATGGCTAAAAATCACATTAATAATAGATAGCCCAAAAATGTGATTTCACATTTTTTCAGTATTATGTTGGTATTGTTACCTTTTTGAGTGAAGTTGACTTTTTTTTTCTTTCAAGACCAACATAAACCTTCCTATAAAGCCCAACACTCATTTTAGTGGGCACTGCTAACCAATGTTTTGTGCATTTCTAATATGACAAGCAGCTGTTTCTAATGTTCATTATTTTCCCTCACATATTTCTGTATATATTTCTATTCTAATATACACATTTTCTTAGGTATTCTTGATAGGTTATATTGCAAAAAAATGGAAAAGCTGCAGATATCACTGTTTAATTATGTTCTAGTTTGTGCAAAGCTTTGAGACGTGAAAATTAAATAAACTCGCATTAAAATGTGAACTAAGTGGATTTTCTCTGAAGGTTAACATTTCTGTCCAATGTTTGAGACTGAAAAAAAAAAATCCAACAAAGGCCCCTCAGGAATAACCAGATGGATTGCACCTTTCCTAGGCAGTAAAATAGAGATAAAATGGGTGGCTGTCACTGTGACCCAATGTGCTGGTTTTTCTCTCATCTCAGCTCAGAGAACAAGAAGGGCCAGAGGCATAGCAAATGAGTGGGAAGAAGGTTTTTGTCAAGTCTAAGTCAAGAGTGGACAAATTGACAGTGAATCTAGATCAGTGTTTCCCAACATTAGCAATTTGAAGATATGTGGACTTCAACACCTGGCTGGGGAATTCTGGGAGTTGAAGTCCACGCACTTCCTAAAGTGTCACTGACCTAAATACTTTATGAAGGAAAGACTGGCATGAAGATTCTACCAGTTAGTTTTTACCCAGCAGTAGGATGACAGTTTACTGATCAGAGACAGAAGATTTAGCAAACTTCTCGGATTCACTGATTGGTCAATTGGTTGAATTAGAATCTATTGGCCAGGTTTGTCAATTTTCCTTTTCTTCCTTCGTTCTTTCTCTTTTCCAGTGCTTCTTCATGGGCAGGAAATGTTTTGTAGAGTGAAACTTAATTGTTTTGTTTCCAAAAGGTAGAAAAAACTAGCAGATTGGGTAAAATTGCTAGAGAGGCTGATCTATATCTTCTTTGGAATGGCAACAGAAATGGATATATAGTAGCAGTTTCTTAGAAGTAAGCTTATATATTTTTATGAATAATTGAAGTGAACTACCAATTTGGCCTCCTCATCTTTCCTATTACATAATCCTCAGCATTTTAGGGTCAAGAATTGCTTTACTAAAACAGGATAATGTCCAGCTGATATTTACAATCCTCCCTCAATGTAGCTATTAATTTCTTTGCTTTTGTTGCACATAATACTAATGGCTATCTATGCCTATCTTGGCATTTGGGACTTTGTAGTCAAATGTGATAATAGTTGA